CCATAACATAATGGTTCAGATCTGAATGTTGTCGGCAATTCCTGATATTTCACAGTGTTATACCTTCTATTTCATCTGGTATATCTCTCACTATTTCATAGTTCTTTCTCAAGAAAACGATCTTTTTATTTCTCCTTTCATCGAGATGTTTTCTTAACAGCCTCTTTTTTCTTCTCCACAGTTTAATGTAATGGTGAAGTATTTTCTCATCCAATAATCGTTTAGATTCTCTCCATACCTTGGTGTTATTACGTCTTTCCTTGTTTACCTTCATAAGTGCGTCTTTGAGCTTCCAATCCATTATCATGTTTACCAACGAAACCTTCCTCGCTCATCATTAATTATCCATAATTAATAATTAATGGTGATAAATCCATAAATTAATGTTAATTTACCGTTTGTCTTTMTATTGTTTGTACTTGACTAACCTTTGGAGGGGGYGTCTATTAGATACGGGGCGTTTATTAGAGAGCGGGYATCTAATAGGTCATTAGTCAACCGAATAACTATATTTGCGTAATTATAAAGTTGTCTTAGAGATTATGAGACTCACAATGGAAACAAAGCCAAGAATATTTCAAAAACATTTCATGATTACAAGATTACAATTAAGATGATGCTGATTATGATAGTGATGATGATAAAAAAACAATAGTAATAACAGTAGTGAGATGATGCTTCTAGACGGTGATTTGTAAGTATCATAACCATATATTGTAGATACGGGATAGATCAGATATTTTTTTCTCACGGTGTCTGGCGGACGATTAAAGTTGTAAATCTACTAAAATAACCATTCTGTCAAGTAAGTTAGCAAACATATCTGTTACTGCACATACCCATCGATAGCACTATGGACACAAAATCCGAACGGCTTCAACTTATCATAACCATCTATGTGCCACACGTAGTTTGGGCCCTGGATTTGATTCCATCAAATGTACAAATTATAAAGTACGGTAAAGCRATGATAAAGTAAGGGGCCCTGACTTGCTCATTTAGGGGAGCTTTCATAAGTTATTCTCGGGGTGCATGTTATGTCATAGCCGCCATGTTGCACGGTGACGATAACAAACCATTCTCTTGTTAGTGGAACCAACATGCCGGCTGTTTCATTGTTATTYATGTCTCAAGGGATTTTGAGTCATTTGCTTGCACCCAAGAATAGGGTGGGGGATATAGATTTTATATTTCGCAATAATATTTTCGGGGCGGCCCCACTCAAACATAATATATTTTTAGTAGACTAATTATCATATTCAAGGTTACTGGAGACCTTCAGGGGTATGTTTTGTTTAAGACTCTCTTCGCAACACTTTAAACAAAACCCCATAAAACTATAGCATCGTTTTAAAGGTCATATAACAAAGATTCAGAAAAGAATATCATTTGAAAGCRAATTTTTAATTTGAAACAATGCTGGAGCTTAAAACACAAAATTGGGCATGTTYAGTAGAAATGAATAAATGGACATGGATCTAGCGCGTATAGCCAAAAGAATTTCACTATGTGAATAAGCAAAAGATAAACTACAAAAGAGTGAGAGCGATTTTTGATATTTTGCTTCCTTAAAAAGCTTTTGAATTTTAAAGTTGGAACGTCGGAAAATTTCAATCCCGGTTAATGTTTTACCGCATAAAAGACGAAATACTCAAAATATCAAAAATCGATCACACCCTTTTGTAGATTATCTTTTGCTTTTTCACATAGTG